GCAATGGAAACATTCTCCCATTCCTAAGAATGGATTCTTAGGAATCCCTAAGAATCTGATCCCTTACCTCAAAGTGAACCTCCGAGGAATTAAGAAAATGCCTCATTTTAAATACAAGTATGATATCTGGTCAGTTCCTATCATGCTGAGAAAAGTCTCYACTTAGTTAGATGAAGAACAGGGGCCCATTTTGTTTACACCGAGCAGTATCCTTTGCAAGAAGGACATAGTGTGACTTGACTTTATTAGCAAGTAGGTAAAAAGGATGTTCAGTATTACAGTTTGTCTTTATGACAAAGTGTAACTGTTTGCTCCTTGTATGAGCAATGGTTATGACAGGACTAGGTAGATTTGTAGTCAGCGAACAGACAGTCACCATAAGAAAGTAAATTCTTTAAGAACTGCTTTTCATATCCAAAAAACATTTATTTGCTATCATGGCCATATGCAAGCGCAGCTGCTAACAGAAGAATAATTATTCTTTGAGAAACGGATACAGGTTTATGATTCTACAAAATTATACTCTCTTTAGAGTAAAGTTATGTAATAAAATAATTCATAGTTACGTCTATCCCTTTAAGTTTAGGGAGATGCTGACAGGTGAGTTCACAAAATGTTCTTTTTACCTTTGCTAGAATTTCGTTTTTCTTCTTCTGTTAGGTCAATCATTTTGAATTTTCTTTCTTTAATTTCACTCTGAAAAAGACAAAAGAGAAACATTGAAGTTTTCTCCCTCCCTCTTTTTTTTTTTTTTTTTTTTTTTTTTTTTTTTTTTTTTTTTAATCTGAAGTAAATACAAGACTACTTATTTCTACAGTTTGCAGAATGGAAGCTGGAAGTTTATATTTCTTACAGAAAACTTTTACAAAAAAATGTTATAAAACTCGCAAAATGATAGAGCCTGGCATAGTATATACATGCAGAAGTATCCAAGCAAGTAACAACAGTACGTGGCCCACAACAACCTGGTCCTTAGAAAGTCACTGGAGAATAACTTCTAGGAAGCAGTCTAATTGTTTGAGGAGATCTTCTAGTACAACTAGAGCTAGGACTGGACACATCAATAATAATTTTATAGTTGCTCTAAGAGAAAAGTTGTACCATGTTATCTGCTTTATTATTTCTGTGAGTAACAGTCACTCAATTCACAAACTTAAATCATTAAATATAATTAAATACCACGTGTTTTTATAGTAGCTTTACATGAATCCAGGTTCATAGCATTTTCCCTGTTATTGCAGAGAAAGATTTTCCATCGATGAAGCTGCTTGTCCTAATATAATTCCACTGGCAGGACACATTGGGCAGAAAAAAGTCTTATAAACATATTATTCTTTCCTCTGTATGGTCATTTTCAAGGTGGCAGAACAATTATCCAAGCAAGAGGGTTGCCAGCCCATACTTAATTTGTACTAAAACAAACTAAAAAAGGTTTTTTTTTAAAAAAAAAAGGTTCAAGATGGGCTATACGATTTTATGTGTCCCAAATGCTAATCGCCTGTAAGAGCAACTCAAAAGCAAGGGTACTGAAGTGCTCAATGTACAAGCAAATACAATTTGTTTTACTTGAGAAAAACAGGAGAAATGCTCTTAGATTATTTTTTACCTGAGTTGCTGCTGACATCGCTGCTGGTGTATATAYTTGGTTATTTGGAACATCTGTAAGAGAATTTTGACAAATGCTTAAAACATGTTTTATCTGTAAGTCTTAATTTACACTACTACAAAAATATTCTATTACAATTCTTAGAGCAACAGAAGAGAATTATAAATCTCCCTCCCTCCCCAAAAACATGATTCAGTTGTGGAAATAATAGACTTAACCAAGAACATGCACTATTACCTTTATCTGGGCTGACATTTTTGCAGATTTTTTTCCAAATTAATKAACCCTAATTGCAAGGAAGAAAGGATCTAGGTAGAGGGGGAAAAAGCAGCTTACTATGCATTAATCTTGATTAAAGGGTGGAACTTGTGCCCTTTATGCAGCAACTACTACCAGAATGAGGAAAGAGTTGCTCAGAATTGCAACTTTGGTATGACATGATTTATGTGACAGATTCACCTGTAGTTTTCACTGCTCTGAAGTATCTATGAATTTCTACCAATTTCATACAAATAATTGTTATAATATTACGATATTTTCCAAGAGCATAGGAAGAGTAGATGGTTAAATTAAGCAGTGCATTAGATGTGTAAAAATTGTCATTAATGCCCTCTCATACAAGAACACTAATGCAATCATATTTTAAATAACTGAAGTCTACTGATAGAGGTTTCTGTGTGCTTTTTTTTTTTAAACATCTATCTAAAATGAAAGAGGAAAGATTTWAAAAAAAAAGAAAAGAGACAGAACCAGCACATTCTTAAGCAATCAAAATTGTATTTTAATGAAATTAAAAATATATATATAGTAGCCAGCAATATACTATATGTATTCTGGATATTTTGCAGTGTATTTTATTTTGCATATTTATCAATATGTATGAATTCAACATTGAGTTTCAATACCTGAATTATTTGCAGTTGCTGAATTTTGGCCTTCTCCAGAAATTCGTAAGACTTCATCAGAACTAACAAACAAAACAAGAATACATAAAAGATGTTTAGAGATGTATAAAAATGACTTCCTCTCCAGAAAGGCATTAAAAATTGGAACACAAACTTACGGACCATGACAAAGTTGAACTGGTTGATTAAAACATAATCAAAGCAGAAGAAAATTGACTCAGGAAAAAAAAGATCAGTAAAACAGGTAAGAAATCATGGCACTTAGGGAAGGAATARTCTTTTCAACCTATTAACTTGAACATTGCTACATTTACTTTTTAACAGCTAAGTATACTGTATATCAGGAGAATGCATGACATCCTAGATAGAACTCTTAAGGAATTTATCTGCTTTTTAACGGTGAAGCTAATGCACTGGACCTCAGGCATAAAACATCTGTCTAAGATCACACAGACTGGAAAAAAATGAAGGGTACTCAGAGAAAAAGATAACAGCAAGTACAGGSACACTTGCATTGCTTGTACTTTCTAGATCCACCTCTCACTGAACTGTTATCAAATGCAGATTAGAGTGACTCTAGAAAGTTTCTGCATGTACARTAGTAGTTGTACAGTACCACAAGTAGGGAAAATTATGTACCTTTACTACAACACACTTACTGCATCTGTTTAGATCACAAAAGAGTACACTGTGCATATGCTGCAGTCACTGACCCGTCTATCCAAGGTCTCCCCAGAAGAAACATGAGACTCCTACCCACATTTTGGTGCAGCTGCAGCCATACCAAAGTTCTTGTGTTTCCTCTGGATACCCTTCATGGATTACAACTAGGAAAAGGATAATCTAACTAATTAGAGCTGAGTCAAAATAGTGTTTTGAATCTTATTCATACTCAATAACAAATCAATAAATCCTCACTGCTGATTAATCGAGGATACAGAAAACACGGTTTTTAGAAAAATGAACTTTCCTATTTCATTTTGCCATAAGGAAAGATTCAGCTATACAGATGGTAAAAAAAGCAGTTCATGCATTTTTCTTGAAATATTTTAAAAATAGAGAAGACTGAAAAATAAATTATAGTTATYTGGGTTTATAATCTTATTAAATAAAGTGATAGAACAACAGCAGGTGGAGATGAGTGGTTTCTTCACAAGTTTGAAAGCTACATTCCAGCTATAGGATTTCTGCATCTTGTGCATTTACTCCTCATTTTTTTTTTCTCCTCATTTTTTAAATCATTATTTTTTTGCTTACACTTGCACCTATTTATTTATAGCATCCCAGTAACAATAATCAAAGTTCTGATCAGATCTTTCTTGGTACTACTGATTAAATGGAAAATATAAGAAAGAATACCACTCAAAATATTTGTTTGAGCTAAACTGTTTACATATACAAAATAGCTTTTTTTTTTTTTTTGCCTTTGTCCATATACAGGCCAACGTGAGTTACTATTTTCTTACTAGCTGATGCATAAAAAAAGAAAAAAAAATTGATCAGTAGAAAAGGAAAGAATAAACAGACACGTGGTCCCCACAAGGTGTCCACCGGAGGGAGCTGGATACAACACGGAAAGAAGATGCTGTCAGTGGCAGATGGGGAGCATTGCACCAGAGATCACACTGATACTCAGCCACCCACAATACAGGAACTAGCTTCACTCTCTGATCTGCCAGGACAGAAATAAATCCAAACTCCTTGCCAGCTTTGTGAAGCAGCATTGGAAGATTCCTTCCACTTTTTTTCTGCATGTGCACAAGGATACAAGAAGAGGACTGGTGATGAGTTTTTGCAGGGTGCACACAGCTTAGACATGAAAAAATAGTGTAACTGGTGGAACACTTAAATGAACAAACTAAACACTCTAAAGGAAGTACTTTAAAAAYACCATTTAGAATTCCCCTGAATGTTATTTAGCATATATTGGCTGTAAGTTTCATAATATACAAAATTGTTTTTCTGGAATTTGGATTTGTCTCATTATGAAAGTGTCCTGAGAAATGTAAGGAATGTAGGACACTCCATGTTTTTATATTTTGCATTAAGAAGTTACCTGGATGATTCTTCCTATCAGGACCACTAAAATATCTTTACACAGACATTCTTCCTGCTGCTCGGTAAGAAATCAATTCCCTAACAGACCTGCTTGTCTTGAAGTACTTCAAGGGCTGATGATCAAGCTTGAGRTCCAACGGATAAAACGGAGACACAAGCAACAGAACTAAGCACTCAAATAACAGCCAAGTTGAAATTCAGTCATAAACCAGAATTGAACTGACAGTGAAAAGTTGAGGGAGAGTGTAATTTTTCTCATAACTGTTTTAAATCAATATAAGGCCATTAACTACATTTTAGAAATCCATTGTGGACACCTACCTTGCATCTTCTGAAACAAATGCTGAAGYGAAACCAATGTGGGATGGCAGTAAAAGTTTCCTTGAAAAATATTGCTGCATATTTACGATATTTGGAAAGGAAGCAGAGGATCCAAGACGGTTTAGAATTGTATTTTGAGAGTCTGCACTTGGAAGCCTTGTCTGACAGAATAGGAAACAAATACTGCATTGTCATAAGCATCACAGCACAAAACAGCTTATATTTGCAACAAACTCTAAGTTAAAAATGCTAAGGGAAAAAAAAAMCAAAAAGGGAGGKGGGCAAAAAAGAAAGTCCAAAGTAAAAAAAATGCATCTGATGTAAAAAAAGAAAAAAAAAAGTTTATTTAAATTTTGATGCTTATAAGCATCTTTCTTTATCTTATCTCTATGTTTTATACGTACTGTCTAAAATTTCTGGAGGAAATCAAACAGATACAAAACAAATTATATGAAATATGTGACAATWTTAAACAAAAAGACAAAATTGCATACTTGTGACATACATATTACACTTCTTGACGTTAAAGAACAAAGATTTTATTTTAGATGTTAAAAAAGGACAAAACTGCATGTCTTCTTTTTATTTAGTAGATATAAGTCTGTAAAAGTAGGATTTCTTATGAAATATACAATCAACATGAAACAAGAGGCTGATAGTTCATGGAATCCTCTCTCCCAGCAAACTAGCTAAAAGATTCACGCCAAAAAAAATATGCTCATGCTAAGCCCCTGGAAGATTCCTSTTGTTCGTGGGAATCAAATATCCTCACAAAAATGATGTTTCACATAGTAATCATGTAAAAATATTTACCTGAGAAGTGCTTGTATATTAAATATGCTTCATTTACYATATATTCAATTTCATTGACTAAAAAAGCGGTTTTCATCTTGTCATTTATGGCCCCTTGGTAACTGGTGGACTACAGCTAAGTGACTGATCAAAGGTTGCCAGAAGAGATGAGCATGCTGTTAAGTAGCATTACTTCTGTAATAAAATATCTKAYWCTYYWCYAKWWRA